CTCTCGTAAAACTGTGTTTTCTGTGTTTGAGCAACCCAAAGACCCACTGAAATCTTTTGTCCAATACAAACACATTTCTAAACTACTTATGCTAAATGGGCAGTTGGCACTTGACATGCTGACAAAACAGGTATCATTTGAGCTCAAAAATATTTATATATCTTGTGTATGTATGTATGTATGTATGTATGTATGTATGTATGTATGTATGTCTCTTTTGTAGTCAAGAATGAACTCAACAGACAAAACTAATAAACTTTATATATATTATAGCTTCATAATTTTTTCCCTGTAATTTCTTCCCAACCTTTACTCCTTCCTCCAACCTCAGTGATCAGGTTTCCCCCAGCTCCACATCCTGTCAGGTCTACGTGCTGACCCCAATGCTGGGTACCAACAGGGAAAAGAGAGGCCTGGCCCTGGATGGAAAGCTAAAGCATGAAGACACCAACTTGGCATCCAGCACCATGTACACACACACACACACACACACGCTTTACTTTTTATGCAAACAGGCAACCAACTCATTGACATACATGACATTCATTGTTCCTTTCTTACCAGTATTATGTGTTCTGTATATCTAACAGAGTAAAAGAAGGATGCAACAAGGAGATGATGGGAATCATGGTTTCCTACAAAGTTAAAGTCAAACTAGTGGTGTCTCTTGGAGGGTAGGTGAACACACTCTAGGTTGCTACAGCAATGATTCTAGAAATTGCCTAATGATTTGCTATGTTTCTGGAAGTATACAAATGTCTAGTATTAGTGAGAAACAACCTGCCACCTTCAGAAACACGGATTGACTGTGATTATAAAACTGGGCTTACGTGTATAAACCTGTGTGTGTGCAGGGATGTGGCAGTGGAGCTTCCATTTGTATTGATGCATCCCAAACCTGCAGAGTGCTCCAGCTCCAAACCACAGCCAGGTAACACACAGTCGGATTTCAAAGGACATTACATTAACCTACTTTCATTCCTGGAGGCTTATCCTAATCCCTACTCTAACCTTAATGTAAACCTAACATTACCCCAACCTCAAAGTCATTAGAGTCACACTTTTCATATAGCACATTTAAAACAACAGCCGCTGTGCCAAAGTGCTTTCGAGTGAAAATGTACAGATATTAGGGTTAAGACCCTGTAGTGTTATATATGATGTAATTTCACCAGAGTAATTTACATATTAGGGATTAAAACCCCACAAAAATGATAGAAAATACTGCTTTACCTGACTGCAACAGATTTTACGGCTGAGACCCATTAGTGGTATTAATTGTAGAGGTTAGCCTAACTAATGGAATAGAATAGCTAAGACACTTCTGTAGAAATAATCACAATGCTTAACCTAACTAATTTAGATATTAAGGCAAAGACTACAGCATTAATTATTCCATTGTCATTGCAGCATTAATGACTATAAAGATTAAGCTAATAATTTTGAACTATATTTGGATTCCTTGGTTCCCCTATGAGAAAGAGTTGTTATTTATTTTACGTGAATATTTGTATATTTTTTTTATTTTATTTTATATATTTATTATTTAACACAAAAAGAAATTCCAGCACAACCAGGTTGAGGGAGGGCAGCTACCGATCTTGACTGGTTGGAGTGAGGGGTAAAAGGGAGAAAGAGCAGGATAGCAGGGACAATCAGACCACCAACAAGAGAATAAAAAAAACAAAAACAAAACACTGGACTAATTGATGGAACAAGTAGACCGCAGATCAGACCCGAATTTTTCCAGAGCCAGAAATACCCGGGCCTTTAGTAACATGCGATAACGAATAAAACTACATGTAGAGCATGACAAGGACTAACCTGTTGAGGTAGATGTAGAAACACAATGGGAAAGAACTATTTCAAACCTGCAGCATCAGACAGTGGTAGGATCCACAAATGTCTCCAAAGAGTGAGAGGGCGACACACATTTACGCACAGGTAAACAGCAGTAATTTCATTAATTAGGTTTATAGCTATAAAATATCCAGACATGTAGAAAGGGTTGATCAGGATCTAACAGCAGCTGTGTGCTTATGTTGACCTCAGAGAGGTGAGCTGTCACACAGAGTCGCAGTGTACCAGCTGCGGTTAATGTTTTGCTTCATCATGGCCGCCCTTAGGTTGGGTACTGACCTTTCAATTTCATTATTTAAGAAATCATAAATAAACAGGGCTGTTGGTTATTTGGACACTTTGATCAGCTGCTATTAGTTTAGTTTTACTCTGCTATTGCATAAATATGCATTATACATCACTTGGTGTATTGGCTGGTCTCGTGTAAATGACAAATATAGTGTGTATAGGGTGGCACTCTTGTTGTCTGAACACAGCTGCGAAGAGCAATATTGGAAAAGTGGCTTATGTCTGAATGACTGGGATGCCATGACTTTAATGGATTGATGAAGCCAGCTATGTTTAATGTCCTGTGTCTGAAAAGGGCTTTAGGGGTTTAAAAGTGAAATTAGGCAATGACTAAAGCAGCTTCAGAAAGAACTAAAAGCAAGGGGGGAAAGGTGAGTCTTTATGTTGTTGTTGAAATTTGAAATTGCCAATAGTGTGAAAGGAGTTAATGTGGAATAGGAGCCTGGGTGCAATAACCTAGAAAAAACCCACCTTTGGTTTTGAGGTGCGAATGAATGACTGGGGAACTGTGACAATGAGGCCAAGGGGCAGAAATGTGTTGTGTACAACATTCAGAACCACTGCATGTTGCACTGGATCACTAGAATCTCAAACCAGATGAACTGGTTAGCTATGCCTCCCCCCTCGCTTTACGTTTTTATTTACAACCAGAGAGGTTGTATACATAAGACTCAACAAGAAACAATCCAGCTACAATCACAACCTCAGACTTTCATTGTAAAATACATTGAATACAGAATGTTTTTAATGTTGCCTTCACTTAATCTATCTTGCCATCGTTCTGTTTTGTGTTCTGTGATGCATGTATCTACTTCATCGTGACACAAAACAGAGACGGTGAAACAGAGAGCAAACGGCAGTAGAGGAGAGCAGCAAAACAGCAGTATTCAGTTCAATTCAATTTTTATTTGTATTGCGCAGTTTACAACGTATGTCATCACATAGTGCTTAACATGGTAAGGTATGGACCCTACAAATTTAAACAGAGAACCCAACAATCCAAAGTAGCCTTTGGACTCCCTCTGAGCAAGCACTTGGCAACGGTGGGAAGGAACCAAAAAAAAAATTCATGTTTTTTCAAGGGGACATGCTTTTTGTCACTAAAAGGGAGACAGATCCCTACAGTGTGACAGATTAATATCCCTAAAGCAATACAAGTACACGCATACAAACACACCTCACAGCCCTGGAACTGTGTGTGTTGGGAGGATCAGTGTGATTTAATTACTTAATGTCTTTTTGTTTCCCCAGTTGCTCCAGAGAGTCAGGCTCACGTGGATACAAACCTCATAGAGTTTGACACAAAGTAAGTGTGTGTGTGTGGGCGCGCGCAAAGAAATATGAGATTTCTTTTACATTTAAATCAGCTTTTCATTAACTTTTTTATTCTCAGAATCCAAAATGTCTGGATGGGATTTTAGTCCTCTGACACGGAGCAGAAAAATGATAGTCACTGAGTGAGAGAGCAGCAAATGAGATCAGATAGTAACACCAATTCCACTGTGAGATACCTTCCTGGTATTGTCACAGCAACCAGACCTTCTGTCTTTTTATTCTGTTTTATTTGCCTTTTTAAAGCCAAAAAGTTTCTTTCTCTAGACAGAGCTGGCCAGAATAGCAGTCTGTTGTTTGAATTCATGTTCAAATGTTTTACAGTTTTTACTAAACATTTATTAGCAGGCCTATTACTTCTCCCTGCGGCTGCTGACCCTGTTTTTTTTATACTTCCTTCACCCTTCTCCATCTATGTGACGTCTCAGAATCAGATGTTTCAGTTCCTCTACAATTTATTTTTTATTTGGAGGCAGGATGCCGACATGCAGGACAGACAAAGCATATTAGTGGAAATATTCTACTTGTCAACTTAGAAACAATGCAATTATTGACAGGTGCTTTAGCTTTGAATGATTTGACGTGTTAGTGATTTTGCAGAGCGTACTCAGTTCTGTTGTGTATGGTATATAATTTGATCAATTCCATCTAATGTTCAAGACCAACACAATCTACCTTTTGCACAGGCGCTGATATAGAACAACACAATACATGGTACAACACTCAAACTCAGACTAGTGCATGTTTACTGAAATGTGCTTGTGCTTATTTCAGTGTTTTTTTTTAATGAAAGTGTGTGATGAGAATCTTTGTCTTGTCAGTACTTCTTCTCAGGGTGATGACTTTGTCTTTGAAGATTTTGCCCGCCTGCGGTTAACAGGGTTGAAGGATGACAAGGATGAGGACACTCCATTCTTTTAGCAGGGTTACAGGATGCTTTGATCCCAGAACCCAAGAAGAAGAAGAAGTAAAAAATAGGGAAGAGACAGCCAGAACTCTGACGACAGTCTCTGTATTCTTGCTTTAATTGTACCATTTATGCTGTCTGGGTAACTATACGTGTCTTTTGTTAAAGGAGCAGTTGAACAAATTCGGAAATCTGCTGCTGAATCATACTGTTTATATGTTCGTATATAAACAGAGACAATGGTGCGTGCATCAGGTGCGACTAAATGTGGTTCTTTTTCTGATGAAACTGTGGAAGCTCGATCCAGTTTTGCTTCTTGTAGTATCAGTGTTATACATGCTGCTGTGATTGAGAATAAGTAATTGGATCAGGGAAATCTTTAAATAAACAAAAGTGATGTTTGTTTTTTTTTATATTGATGGTAGGTAAGCTGCTGTCTTCAGGTATTACTCAAGCTGTCGAGAGCAATAACAGGAACTTCTGACTTTTACCACTTTGTATTAATTTGTACTTAACCTCATTATGAAGAACTCAAATACATTTTATATCAGAACTTATCAGAAATTGTTTTATTTTTGTATTTTTTGTTTTTTTATTGTACTTTTATGTAGCAGCAAATGCCATCCCGCAGACACAAAATCCCTCTAGTTTTCAAGTGTACTGTCAGTGGACAGTGGCCCTACACCTTTGATTTTTTTTGTTTTTTTCACAATTTCAAACCAACAGTATGGCATGAAATTTCTAGACTAGAACCTGACTTGATTTTTAAGAATTGTGCCAATATGTAAGAGGTAAAATGTACCTGATAAGGGTGACGTGTTGTTGTTTTATTGCAAGAATCCCTTAAGTTTAGTGGTAGTAAAGAATTACGTTCAAAATATGCAGTGAACATTACATTTGACAAATTAAAAATAAACTTGTCAGTGGTCTGTGGTGGATAAATGGTGTAGAGGAGATGCTGTTTCTAAATTATCTCCATCATGTAGTTGACATTTAATTTCTTATCACTAACAGTCATAATATTAGCCCGTCAGTTTATCATTTGAGCTACAATCTTCTAATCCTTCTGTAGTTTGGAATTGTGAAACGATGAAAAACTAGTTTGTATCAAAAAATGTCAGCATGGAGCACCACAGCTCCATGAGCATGCATCATCAACACCAACGTTAAAATCACCAGACTTCATAACTCTATAATTTTCTTCACCACATGCTATTTTCACAATGAAAGAGATATACAGCTGGTACATTCTTCTGTGTCTCAGCTTATCACTCTGTATTTACTGTGTCCTTGTTTGTCAGTGTCTCTCGACAGACCTATGTTTTTGTATCCATGTAGAATTTATATTATGTATATTTTTTTCTATTTTACTCTAAGAAAAGTCTTTCTATGTTTAAGTGTAGGTGTTGGCTACAACACCTAGTGACTGTAATCAAAATTTATGGTAAAATGTACAAATAATCAACAAAGTTATAACTCAAAAATGCCTTAATTTTGCTGTATACCACACTTTCTTTTGTTTCAAATAAACTTTTCTATTTGTCAAATGGACGGTGATGTATCTGCTGTAAAACATGACGCTTTCTGTTAGGCTCCATGGATGCTTTCCACTGAGCCCATAAAATTCAATATTCGATTCAATTTTTCAGGGTTGAAAATGGAAAGCTGATGGCATGCAATGTTAGGAATTTTTACAGGGAAGGTAAACAAATGCAATATAAAACCGCTATGGTTCTTCACAACTGGACTGCTGCTCAGCATTAAATTAAGTGCAGCCACCAGAGGTAAATGTATGACAGCAAAACAATTGGATAAAATAATGGTGTCATTTATGTACATATACTAAAACTGTGATTCAGATAGGGGAATAAATGAAGAAATAAATAAGGTGAAACAAAATGACAAATCAGACTGATGGTGAGGCTACTTCTGATTAAAGTAATCATGTTTTTTTTTTCTCCTGTCTTATACATCATTAAAATTTCAGATGTTAGGAGCTGATCTGTGACAGAAAAGGCCATCCAGAACTGTGATATGCGGTTACTGTCCACTGATCTCCGCCTGTATTTCCATTTGCCCAATAGACAGGGTGAAAGATATACAATAGATGTTGCTGAAATGCTGAGTTAAGAGTAAATACAACCCAAATGAAGATATCTGTGCTCAAGACAGAGTTGTGTGCACTCATCTCTTTACTTTCATCACTCTATTTCTGATGATAAGATTCTATACAACTTCTGTTGGTGGAAAAATACCTTTCTTCTGTTGGATTTCTCTCTGTATGATGCATGTGCAGCATGACAATTCAGGGAGAGTATTTTGTAAATTCCTAATCAAACAATTTCCAGCACGTTTTCTGGTTGTTGTTGTTGTTGTATTAAAAAAATCTTAACAGTTTGTACACTATGTCCTGCGATTTGCACCAATTACCATGGACCACCAAACAACAAAATATTACCAGAAATGCAACACCTATCATTTACAAAAACAGAATTGTTGCATTACAAAACAAAAACATTTTCCTTCTTTTCATCACTCCATATGTCTGTTGGGACAGCTCTGTATAGGAATTACAGTAAAAAGCATCTGTGAAAAGATTTGAACACTGGTAGTAGAATTGGAGAATAAGGCCAAGTACAGTCCCATCATGTATCAGAATGAAGCACTGCTACAATCCCAGCAGCCGGCCAGCTGCCCTCTTTGCTTTCATGTCTGCTGCTGCTGCTGTTGTTGTTGCTGCTGCTGCTGTTGCTGTTGCTGTTGTTGCTGTTGCTGCTGCTGCTCCAACATGACTTCACAGGTTCGTCCCAGTTCTCCAAGTTTGACCTTGGCATACTCGGCTCTGTTTAGTGCCATCTGACAGTCCTTCCTGGCTGAATAAGTGGAACCTTCATGAGGCTGACCAGTAGCTACCTAGAGAAAAGATGAGAAAATGAGCTTAGGTCCGCTATTCACAATACAATGCAGTCTGTTTTGATTTGATTGGTCAAAATTTAAAAAAACTCCAAAAAAATCAATGCAGAGGGACAATATTTTATTAGAATGCCTGGTATCTGTTACAGTATTGATTAGCTGTCATACTATTGTGTATATTAATATCTATATATTCAGCACTATATCCATGAATACTATAATAAATATAAACAAATGGTTCATAATAGGGCTGCAAGGTGGCACAGTTGGTTAGCACTGTTGCCTCGCAGCAAGAAGATCACCGGTTTGTGTCCCGGTGGGGGCACCGGGATCTTTCTGCGTAGAGTTTGCATGCTCTCCCTGTGCAGCGTAGGTTCTCTCCGGGTTCTCTGGCTTCCTCCCACAAGTCCAAAAACATACTGAGGTTAATTGGTGATTCTAAATTGTCCATAGGTGTGAATGTGAGTGTGCTTGGTTGTCTGTCTCTAAGTGTAGCCCTGCGATAGACTGGCGACCTGTCCAGGGTGTCACCTGCCTTTGCCCTAAGTCAGCTGGGATAGGCTCCAGCCCCTCCATGAACCTTGTGAGGATTAAGCGGTGTACAGATAATGGATGGATGGATGGTTCATAGGAACTACATTTTAGTCAAGGTGACATACTTTCTGAAACAAAACATAAATTAGGCACTACAGCTCTGTTGTTGAAACTGTTGTCTCTCACAAACTAGTACTACAGTTGTGCGTTTAACCTGTGTGAGGTAGCGAATCTGGGAAGTCAGTTCACTCTCCACTCGGTTGACTGAGGTCTGGAACTGAATCAGCTGTCTGTCGAGGAAGCTGGCATTGGTTTTGTCTTTGGAGAGTTCCAGGACAATATTACCTGCAAGGGACACCACACATCAGCAGTTAGCCTATGTCAAGCAACAGTAAACATCAATCAGTTCATGACTAAATACAAAGATGAAGGCAACTTGCTGAAAGGTTTCTTCAACTCTAAGTGGTGGGGTGTCCTATATTTTGACTTATGTGAAGTCGCTGAGGTCACATGTGAGCCTTGGAGTGTTAGGTTCATATCAGTTGAGATGTGGAAGGGTGTTAAGGTTTCAGAATTACACTGTAAGTGGCTAACAAGTGCTGTCACAGACCATCCTCCCATGATTTGTGATGGCTGTTTCAATTTGACATGTATGATTTCAAACATCTTCAAGAAACTCAAGGAAATCCATTTGTTTCCATTTTAGCACTTAGATAAACCATGACCTGCATGAGTAAGAATCTTTGATGACACAAGTTATAACATTTTAACTATGCCAGAAACCTGAAAGATTACACAAAAATACTTAAAACTACATTCATTGTTTTTGTCAATAAAGGGCAACAAAATGACCACAATTATCTGAAGTATTTATGTTGAGTGCTAGTGAACAGTTAATTACTTTCACATCCAACAGACAAAGGGCAACATTATTAATCATTTGGAGTCAGATTGATGTCCACCTGATAAATTCAAAGATGGACTCTACTTTTAGCTCCAGTTTGGTTTCCACCAACCACTGACCAAAATATTAGACTCTTTAGCTCCACTGTTCACCAGCTACTTTCTGACAAGACAATGTGGCACAAAGAGCGACACCTTCCACAAGTAATAAAAAATACTGATGAGTGAAATTTTAAGGAATATTTTTTTTCTCTTCTGTAAATTCTAAGTAATTAAGGAATTGGCCAGATTAGCCAGATACCAGAGCAACACTCAGCAGCTGGTAAAGAAACCAGTATTCCTGTACTGAAATACCACCAGTTAAGATGTGGCTGTTTGAGACAACACAACTTCATAGCACACCATGGAAGTGCAATATAAACTATTCGAGGAGTCATCCACGAGAATCCTAGTAGCTCCAGTAAAAGGCAACTTTTCGTTTTAGTAGTAAAAATGTCTTCAAGCGGGGTTCAAACTGGAATTTGACACTGAGACCTCTGCAGACCCTGTCTTTGCTGGTATTGTACTTCAAATGTACAAACAGCAATTTACAACAGGGCTGAATGATTTGAAACCATCACAAATTTATCAGAAAACTCGCAATTTAATATTTTCTTCAAATCATTCAGCCCTAATTCACACGCAATTAGTCCGCCACTTAAGGTGCTCTTGTTTGTTTTTGCCAAATTGCTAATCCTATCTACTGTTTACAAAGGAATTAGTCCTCACCGGCACACTGCAGGACCGACGCTATCTCCTTCTCTACGTCCTCCAGAACTCTGAGCCGCTCATTAGCCATTAGTAGGCAGGAAACAGCCTCAAACAGCAGCTCTCTGGGCAGAAGTTCCTCTGTTCAGCGACACACGGTGAGCCACTGCCGCCTACAACAAAGAATACGCTTAAACGACGTCACTCCGTCGCACAGTGGTGACGTAGGCTTTGGCGGAGAGGCAAGATGGCTACATCGACTTGGCTGCATGGCCCATCTGCTATGCGACTTACAGAAGGTTTGGTGTCGGTTCTGAAAGAACAGCGTCCAGAGTATTTACCTGCTCTGCTGGCCAACTACAGAGAACATGGCGTGTTCACAACACAGGTAGAGCCCAGTCCGGGCAAGCACGTTGGCTTTCAGAGCTAGTTATGTGTTAGCCTACTGTCGCTGTGCTTGCAGCTGCTACATGCTTTGTTATTCAGTGAGATGACACCTGGAGATGTTGTATGCAGTCTGAGCTGTTGCTGTGTTTGTTAAATGTGTCCGCTGTTAGTTACTACCTATGTTTATCTGTACAGGGCGCCGGCGCAGTCGGGGGTCTCGTGGGCTTCAGCAATGCCAAACTGGGCTCGAGCAAGACCAGGTGAGACATGACTGCTTTTTGTCAGCTGTCATTATGATTCAGTACCACTGACGATGATGTTTTAACGTTACTATTTCGTTTTGTGTATATTTCGGCACGATATCACTGTTAACTATCAGGCAGTGTATAGTGTGATTTTTTTTTTCCCCCACTCACCTTGTTCATATGTCTCTGTGCGGGGCTTGACTCATCGTTTTCCTGAGGACAAATGTGATCTGTGTAAAAGTTTTAATGCAAATGTATCAGCCGGTGTTTGTCCTTATTGGAGAGATAAAGAAGAGCCATTTACAAGCAAAGTGTTTTTATTTGTTTATTTATTAGGTATTGAATGACTTTAAACTTGCAGGAAATTCAGGTTAAAACCGTTCAGCACAATAAAATAAAATAAAATAAATCATCAAAGTTACAGCAAAAAAAATACTCCATTATTCTATGATAAAGTGTCCAGGAATATATGTTTACATTCATCATATTATATTCAGTCATGTATATATGATAAATGCCTGTGTTAGAATAACTCTATTTTCTGCCTCTGGCAAACAGGTGTGTGTAGTTATTTGCTCTGATTTAAACAAGACGTTACTCCCTCTCAGACATGCATCCTGCTTTATTAATCTGACGGGACTCATGTTAGCTGTCTGAATGTGCACCTTGGTTACTTTTCCTGGATAATTTATGTCTGATTTCTCGCACAGTCAGTGAAACTCAAAAGGGTGAGATTAAATAAGTGTTTACATACTTCTTCTCACTCCTTTTCGAATATGTAGACCTAGTCCAGAATTGTGGAATATTTCTTTTGTTATATGATTTCGTTCAATATGTATGTGTATGGATTTGTATGTATATAAGTGTATATTTATATTTATAAAAAATATTAATTCTTTGTTTGCTTGGTACTTGTCTTTACATATTTTAAATAAATATTTCAATCAATCAAAAGGTCAGGAGCCAGCTTCAAGACAGACGCAATGTTACAAAATATTTAACTGCAGCTGATAAACTGTGACTGTGTGTGTGACAGCTTGATCCTGTGATACATTTAAACTATGTAATGAAGTTACTGTTCTTGCTCCTTGTGTAAATCCGTATTGCTCTCTCGCTCTCTTTGAAGACAGTTGTGAATCCTACTGCTATTCGATGCTCCACGTATATCTACGTAGAGTTTGACATGCCAGCAAATTCTTTCCTGGACCACTCTTCATGCTCTTTCTGGGATAATTTATAATTATAGAAATTTAATGAAGTTACCAGTGCTGCTTTTTAATGGTCAGTGAGTGTTCAGGGGTAAGAAGATGTTGACGGGCATCACAGCTGGTGTGATCCTATTAACGTTAATGTTCTAGTGATGTTTTCTTCCAGGTGCTTGTTTATCAAAAAAATACATTAGTAGTAAGTTTAAGAGGAAAAAAAGACAAATCAAAGCAGAGAGGTAAATGTTCTGGATGGTTTAAGTGGTAATAAAAACCCCTCTGGCTAGCTATTTCTGCAAATCAGTCACAATCGTTTTGGAAATTAATTGATAGAAGTGTTTGTGTGTGTGCAGGTTTGAGGGGCTCTGCCTTCTTGCTATGCTGGTTAAAGACAGCTCCAGTGATCTCTTCCAGCAACACTGCCTTTCCTGGCTTCGCTCCCTGCAGCAGGTCATACAGGTATGCCACATTCACTTACACGTTGAACCCTCTCCAAACCACACTACAGAAAAAGGCCATATACTGAGTGTGAAAAAGAAAATTTGCTTTTTCACTAATTTTAACAAAAATATTGACATGTTTGCAAAAACAACTTCTTATAAGTGTGTTACATAAATGATTGCCAGTTTCTGTCGTGTGCTTGTTGACGAGTTTTCCAGGCACAATGTCTTCAGTTGCAAGAGGTCTGACATTTTTATTTTATTTTTTTTTACATTTGCTGCTCTTCAAAAATACCCACACAACTTTTCAGTGAGATTTAAACCTGGGATAGGCCCATTCCTTGAATTTGCTTGTGTGCTGAGGACAGCTATCCTGTTTAAAGGTCCACTTCCAGTTCTATGTGAGCTTGTGGACATGCACACACATGCAAATGATACACAGTAGATATATAATTGCATCTTAATAATGCATTAATATTCATATTTCTGTAATTAGGTACTGTCCATATGTCTCAAAAAAATGTATTTTGATGGTTTCGCAATATTGTTTAGTGAAACTGTCGTGTCACTAAAGCCCTGTCTGAATTGAACTGAATTTGAGCAGTATGATGCATAAGTTGCAAGTGGTCATGACCAAAGCGAGATGCTAAAGCTGATGGAAAGTCAGTCAAGCACACATTTGACTTCTTTTTTTTTATGTGAAAAAAGATAGAAAAGAAAGTAAAAAATGTGAACAAGGGAATGCGTGTCCTGATGGCACACTGTCAGACAGACAACTGCAAATACAAAGTGACCACAGTCAACAATCATAAAAATCTTACTATTAAACATCTGTGTGTCTCTTATTATTCTGAATATATTGCCTTTAATTTCCAATTTATTGAAGATATATACCAGGCCTTGATGTCACAGTTTCATGATATTATGCTGTTGCTTTTTTTTTTTTTTTCGACTTCAGGTAGCTCTCTGTTTTTTTTCACTGCACATGGGTTTGAACTACTGTCTTCAGATCACACCTCATACTTAATTGGCAAAGAGAACACCAGATCCAGAGGATTAAATAGGACAGGTTTTATGTAATTCCCTAAGGAGGCTCTAAACATTGGCCCTGAATCGGGAACCCTGATTCTTATTTTATGGACTTGAAAGTGTGATGAATACTTTTGATCTGATCTGTTGTTTTTAAAAATTTGATTTGTAAAAGTGATGACAAAATTACAATTTTATGTGTAATTTCTTTGAGTATATCACTTCTATGAATAGGCACTAGTTTAAAGAGAATCAAATATTTGCTTGTCTAAATATGTCGAAGTAAAAAAATTTCACCAGATATTTTCTCACATGACAATATCAAAGTACTTTAAGGTTCATGGATGTGCTGCTTTAGAACACATGTATTTCTGGTCAGTCTTAGTCCTTATTACTAGAGTTATTGCTACAACACAACTATTTTATCTGTATTTTGTTATTAAATCAAAGGTCATCTCAACCGGATTGCATTTAGTTAGTTTTACATGTATCCTGTTACCGTTATCCTCAAGTTTTATCTGTTTGAATGTTTGAATGTATTTTGTGTTGTCAGTGCAAATAAAGGTTAAATGAATTACAACTAATTCTAGAGATATGACTAGTTGGAAAAATTTTCTTAGCCTGAAGCCATTTCAGATTTCTCTTGCCTTCTGTCTGGTGTTCTCTAGTCTCAGGCGCCAGTTCAGACCATCCAACTAGCAGTGAACATTTTGAAGGACCTGCTACAGTACTCGTCCCAACTACCAGAGCTGGCCAGGGAGGTTGGCCTCAACTCAGTCCTTGGCATCCTGACATCTTTGCTTGGCCTCAAGACAGAGGTGAGGTGGCAGGGCAGTGATATGTAATGAAAAATATAAGAAGGCTGGAGACACAGAATCATGACATGANTAGCCCTGCGATAGACTGGCGACCTGTCCAGGGTGTCACCTGCCTTTGCCCTAAGTCAGCTGGGATAGGCTCCAGCCCCTCCATGAACCTTGTGAGGATAAAGCGGTGTACAGATAATGGATGGATGGATGGTTCATAGGAACTACATTTTAGTCAAGGTGACATACTTTCTGAAACAAAACATAAATTAGGCACTACAGCTCTGTTGTTGAAACTGTTGTCTCTCACAAACTAGTACTACAGTTGTGCGTTTAACCTGTGTGAGGTAGCGAATCTGGGAAGTCAGTTCACTCTCCACTCGGTTGACTGAGGTCTGGAACTGAATCAGCTGTCTGTCGAGGAAGCTGGCATTGGTTTTGTCTTTGGAGAGTTCCAGGACAATATTACCTGCAAGGGACACCACACATCAGCAGTTAGCCTATGTCAAGCAACAGTAAACATCAATCAGTTCATGACTAAATACAAAGATGAAGGCAACTTGCTGAAAGGTTTCTTCAACTCTAAGTGGTGGGGTGTCCTATATTTTGACTTATGTGAAGTCGCTGAGGTCACATGTGAGCCTTGGAGTGTTAGGTTCATATCAGTTGAGATGTGGAAGGGTGTTAAGGTTTCAGAATTACACTGTAAGTGGCTAACAAGTGTTGTCACAGACCATCCTCCCATGATTTGTGATGGCTGTTTCAATTTGACATGTATGATTTCAAACATCTTCAAGAAACTCAAGGAAATCCATTTGTTTCCATTTTAGCACTTAGATAAACCATGACCTGCATGAGTAAGAATCTTTGATGACACAAGTTAGAACATTTTAACTATGCCAGAAACCTGAAAGATTACACAAAAATACTTAAAACTACATTCATTGTTTTTGTCAATAAAGGGCAACAAAATGACCACAATTATCTGAAGTATTTATGTTGAATGCTAGTGAACAGTTAATTACTTTCACATCCAACAGACAAAGGGCAACATTATTAATCATTTGGAGTCAGATTGATGTCCACCTGATAAATTCAAAGATGGACTCTACTTTTAGCTCCAGTTTGGTTTCCACCAACCACTGACCAAAATATTAGACTCTTTAGCTCCACTGTTCACCAGCTACTTTCTGACAAGACAATGTGGCACAAAGAGCGACACCTTCCACAAGTAACAAAAAATACTGATGAGTGAAATTTTAAGGAATATTTTTTTTCTCTTCTGTAAATTCTAAGTAATTAAGGAATTGGCCAGATTAGCCAGATACCAGAGCAACACTCAGCAGCTGGTAAAGAAACCAGTATTCCTGTACTGAAATACCACCAGTTAAGATGTGGCTGTTTGAGACAACACAACTTCATAGCACACCATGGAAGTGCAATATAAACTATTCGAGGAGTCATCCACGAGAATCCTAGTAGCTCCAGTAAAAGGCAACTTTTCGTTTTGGTAGTAAAAATGTCTTCAAGCGGGGTTCAAACTGGAATTTGACACTGAGACCTCTGCAGACCCTGTCTTTGCTGGTATTGCACTTCAAATGTACAAAAAGCAATTTACAACAGGGCTGAATGATTTGAAACCATCACAAATTTATCAGAAAACTCGCAATTTAATATTTTCTTCAAATCATTCAGCCCTAATTCACACGCAATTAGTCCGCCACTTAAGGTGCTCTTGTTTGTTTTTGCCAAATTGCTAATCCTATCTACTGTTTACAAAGGAATTAGTCCTCACCGGCACACTGCAGGACCGACGCTATCTCCTTCTCTACGTCCTCCAGAACTCTGAGCCGCTCATTAGCCATTAGTAGGCAGGAAACAGCCTCAAACAGCAGCTCTCTGGGCAGAAGTTCCTCTGTTCAGCGACACACGGTGAGCCACTGCCGCCTACAACAAAGAATACGCTTAAACGACGTCACTCCGTCGCACAGTGGTGACGTAGGCTTTGGCGGAGAGGCAAGATGGCTACATCGACTTGGCTGCATGGCCCATCTGCTATGCGACTTACAGAAGGTTTGGTGTCGGTTCTGAAAGAACAGCGTCCAGAGTATTTACCTGCTCTGCTGGCCAACTACAGAGAACATGGCGTGTTCACAACACAGGTAGAGCCCAGTCCGGGCAAGCACGTTGGCTTTCAGAGCTAGTTATGTGTTAGCCTACTGTCGCTGTGCTTGCAGCTGCTACATGCTTTGTTATTCAGTGAGATGACACCTGGAGATGTTGTATGCAGTCTGAGCTGTTGCTGTGTTTGTTAAATGTGTCCGCTGTTAGTTACTACCTATGTTTATCTGTACAGGGCGCCGGCGCAGTCGGGGGTCTCGTGGGCTTCAGCAATGCCAAACTGGGCTCGAGCAAGACCAGGTGAGACATGACTGCTTTTTGTCAGCTGTCATTATGATTCAGTACCACTGACGATGATGTTTTAACGTTACTATTTCGTTTTGTGTATATTTCGGCACGATATCACTGTTAACTATCAGGCAGTGTATAGTGTGATTTTTTTTTTCCCCCACTCACCTTGTTCATATGTCTCTGTGCGGGGCTTGACTCATCGTTTTCCTGAGGACAAATGTGATCTGTGTAAAAGTTTTAATGCAAATGTATCAGCCGGTGTTTGTCCTTATTGGAGAGATAAAGAAGAGCCATTTACAAGCAAAGTGTTTTTATTTGTTTATTTATTAGGTATTGAATGACTTTAAACTTGCAGGAAATTCAGGTTAAAACCGTTCAGCACAATAAAATAAAATAAAATAAATCATCAAAGTTACAGCAAAAAAAATACTCCATTATTCTATGATAAAGTGTCCAGGAATATATGTTTACATTCATCATATTATATTCAGTCATGTATATATGATAAATGCCTGTGTTAGAATAACTCTATTTTCTGCCTCTGGCAAACAGGTGTGTGTAGTTATTTGCTCTGATTTAAACAAGACGTTACTCCCTCTCAGACATGCATCCTGCTTTATTAATCTGACGGGACTCATGTTAGCTGTCTGAATGTGCACCTTGGTTACTTTTCCTGGATAATTTATGTCTGATTTCTCGCACAGTCAGTGAAACTCAAAAGGGTGAGATTAAATAAGTGTTTACATACTTCTTCTCACTCCTTTTCGAATATGTAGACCTAGTCCAGAATTGTGGAATATTTCTTTTGTTATATGATTTCGTTCAATATGTATGTGTATGGATTTGTATGTATATAAGTGTATATTTATATTTATAAAAAATATTAATTCTTTGTTTGCTTGGTACTTGTCTTTACATATTTTAAATAAATATTTCAATCAATCAAAAGGTCAGGAGCCAGCTTCAAGACAGACGCAATGTTACAAAATATTTAACTGCAGCTGATAAACTGTGACTGTGTGTGTGACAGCTTGATCCTGTGATACATTTAAACTATGTAATGAAGTTACTGTTCTTGCTCCTTGTGTAAATCCGTATTGCTCTCTCGCTCTCTTTGAAGACAGTTGTGAATCCTACTGCTATTCGATGCTCCACGTATATCTACGTAGAGTTTGACATGCCAGCAAATTCTTTCCTGGACCACTCTTCATGCTCTTTCTGGGATAATTTATAATTATAGAAATTTAATGAAGTTACCAGTGCTGCTTTTTAATGGTCAGTGAGTGTTCAGGGGTAAGAAGATGTTGACGGGCATCACAGCTGGTGTGATCCTATTAACGTTAATGTTCTAGTGATGTTTTCTTCCAGGTGCTTGTTTATCAAAAAAATACATTAGTAGTAAGTTTAAGAGGAAAAAAAGACAAATCAAAGCAGAGAGGTAAATGTTCTGGATGGTTTAAGTGGTAATAAAAACCCCTCTGGCTAGCTATTTCTGCAAATCAGTCACAATCGTTTTGGAAATTAATTGATAGAAGTGTTTGTGTGTGTGCAGGTTTGAGGGGCTCTGCCTTCTTGCTATGCTGGTTAAAGACAGCTCCAGTGATCTCTTCCAGCAACACTGCCTTTCCTGGCTTCGCTCTCTGCAGCAGGTCATACAGGTATGCCACATTCACTTACACGTTGAACCCTCTCCAAACCACACTACAGAAAAAGGCCATATACTGAGTGTGAAAAAGAAAATTTGCTTTTTCACTAATTTTAACAAAAATATTGACATGTTTGCAAAAACAACTTCTTATAAGTGTGTTACATAAATGATTGCCAGTTTCTGTCGTGTGCTTGTTGACGAGTTTTCCAGGCACAATGTCTTCAGTTGCAAGAGGTCTGACATTTTTATTTTATTTTTTTTTACATTTGCTGCTCTTCAAAAATACCCACACAACTTTTCAGTGAGATTTAAACCTGGGATAGGCCCATTCCTTGAATTTGCTTGTGTGCTGAGGACAGCTATCCTGTTTAAAGGTCCACTTCCAGTTCTATGTGAGCTTGTGGACATGCACACACATGCAAATGATACACAGTAGATATATAATTGCATCTTAATAATGCATTAATATTCATATTTCTGTAATTAGGTACTGTCCATATGTCTCAAAAAAATGTATTTTGATGGTTTCGCAATATTGTTTAGTGAAACTGTCGTGTCACTAAAGCCCTGTCTGAATTGAACTGAATTTGAGCAGTATGATGCATAAGTTGCAAGTGGTCATGACCAAAGCGAGATGCTAAAGCTGATGGAAAGTCAGTCAAGCACACATTTGACTTCTTTTTTTTTATGTGAAAAAAGATAGAAAAGAAAGTAAAAAATGTGAACAAGGGAATGCGTGTCCTGATGGCACACTGTCAGACAGACAACTGCAAATACAAAGTGACCACAGTCAACAATCATAAAAATCTTACTATTAAACATCTGTGTGTCTCTTATTATTCTGAATATATTGCCTTTAATTTCCAATTTATTGAAGATATATACCAGGCCTTGATGTCACAGTTTCATGATATTATGCTGTTGCTTTTTTTTTTTTTTTCGACTTCAGGTAGCTCTCTGTTTTTTTTCACTGCACATGGGTTTGAACTACTGTCTTCAGATCACACCTCATACTTAATTGGCAAAGAGAACACCAGATCCAGAGGATTAAATAGGACAGGTTTTATGTAATTCCCTAAGGAGGCTCTAAACATTGGCCCTGAATCGGGAACCCTGATTCTTATTTTATGGACTTGAAAGTGTGATGAATACTTTTGATCTGATCTGTTGTTTTTAAAAATTTGATTTGTAAAAGTGATGACAAAATTACAATTTTATGTGTAATTTCTTTGAGTATATCACTTCTATGAATAGGCACTAGTTTAAAGAGAATCAAATATTTGCTTGTCTAAATATGTCGAAGTAAAAAAATTTCACCAGATATTTTCTCACATGACAATATCAAAGTACTTTAAGGTTCATGGATGTGCTGCTTTAGAACACATGTATTTCTGGTCAGTCTTAGTCCTTATTACTAGAGTTATTGCTACAACACAACTATTTTATCTGTATTTTGTTATTAAATCAAAGGTCATCTCAACCGGATTGCATTTAGTTAGTTTTACATGTATCCTGTTACCGTTATCCTCAAGTTTTATCTGTTTGAATGTTTGAATGTATTTTGTGTTGTCAGTGCAAATAAAGGTTAAATGAATTACAACTAATTCTAGAGATATGACTAGTTGGAAAAATTTTCTTAGCCTGAAGCCATTTCAGATTTCTCTTGCCTTCTGTCTGGTGTTCTCTAGTCTCAGGCGCCAGTTCAGACCATCCAACTAGCAGTGAACATTTTGAAGGACCTGCTACAGTACTCGTCCCAACTACCAGAGCTGGCCAGGGAGGTTGGCCTCAACTCAGTCCTTGGCATCCTGACATCTTTGCTTGGCCTCAAGACAGAGGTGAGGTGGCAGGGCAGTGATATGTAATGAAAAATATAAGAAGGCTGGAGACACAGAATCATGACATGATATGACAACACACACACACACACATATATATATATATATACACATATACATATATATAAAATGTGCTTTGTTCTTCCTTTGATCCTAGTGTGAGCTGGCAGCCATGGAGGGGATGACAGCCTGTATGAGCTACTATCCCAGAGCCTGTGGATCCCTCAGGGTGAGACACACTCAGGGACAGATGAGATGAAGAGTGAACGAGAACTGAAAGAGTTGTTTCTAAAAAATATTCACTTAAGTTACACCTGTATTACTTTTCATTTTAGTATATGTCATTTATGTCTTTTTGACTGAAGTTTCTGGTCAAACCTGTCTTTTTTTTTCCCTTCAAGGATAAACTAGGAGCGTATTTTCTCTCTAAAATGGACAGCACAAACCGGAAAACACAAGAGGTTTGTCCAAGCAAGTACTGTCTGAGTACAGTCCTCGAAAATTAGACTTTCTTCTCTGAATGCTTTTAAAATTGTTTATCTCTTGGGTCACTGTTTTTTCTGTCAGGTGGCCTGTCAGTGTTATGGTCGTCTTCCCTGTCTGGGAGGCCTCTTGGACAGAGGAGTGGGCGCTGGCAGAGCTGAGGGCTGGACCAATCAGATTCACTGCCTACTGGCCACAGCCAATGGCCTGCTGGCTCAGATCTACCAAGGTGCAGAAACAGGTATGCTTTTCTGTCAGTTAGCATATATAGGCCATTTATGGGACATTTTTAAGTTTTGCTAGTTGAAAATACTGTCTAATGTCCTTGGACACGTTGGAAGAGCTTTGTTTTTTTTTTGTTTTTTTTTTTGTTTTTTTTTTACATTTGTATTGTTTGCTGACGATTAATGATGCTAAGACTTAATTACTGTTTGCTCTCACAGATGGAACGGTGCAATATCAAGGTCCAGGGGTGGAGCTGACCTTCCCTCATCTCGACCAAACAGATCCCCTGCTGTTGTTGCAGCTGCAGCACAGATATACTGCTGTCTGCCTGGCACTCAAACACACACTCAGGTAAAAAATAGGCACACATACAACTTTTAAGAAAAATGTATCATTTAAAAGATCAGTTTACCCAAATTACAAAAATTATCCTGTTTGCGCTTTGTGGTCTCTATCAATGTAAGTAGCTTTGGTTTTAAACTACTTAAAGTCTTGCCCCACTTTCATGTCGCTGAAATTTGATTTGTTAAATTTGCAGCTTTCAAAACTACATCAAATGTCCTGTTAACTTTCCAATGCAAAAATGGTGCAAACAATCCAAAAAGAAAACACTGAGAACTTTTTGTGAGTCTTAGGACAGTTCAGTCTGGCAGCCTGAAGACATTGATTAGCGTAATTTTCGGACTATTGAGCGCACCTGAATATAAGCCGCACCCACTAACTTTAAAAAGAAAAAAAAAAGTACCTATAAAAGCTGCACTTGTCTATAAGCCACAGGTGTCCCCGTTGTAACATGAGATATTTACACAGAAAGATTTTTTTAAAAACTTTTAATTAAATATGTACCAGTAACATACACAAATATTTACCGTAAATGCTTTTTTCTAAACAGTGCCTGTAACACAGCTGATGAAAAAAAACCCCTAAAAATACCATAGTCTACCAGGAAAAGTCATTGATCGCTATCTTCATCTTCCTCCTGCACACTAAAACCACTAAAGTCATCTTCTTCAGTGTCGGAATTGAACAGCCTCAGAATTACTTCGTCACACACTTCCTCTGTCTCTCTTTTGTTGTCGTCGCTCTCAATGTCACTTTCATCTCAAGGCAAATTCATAAAACTTGTAAAAATCCATAAAGTAGCCACATCAATGTTTAAGCTGGAAGCACTGTTGCCTCACAACAGGAAGGTCGTCGGTTCATGTCCCGGTGGGGGCACCGGGATCTTTCTGCGTGGAGTTTGCATGTTCTCCCCGTGCAGTATGGGTTCTCTCTGGGTTCTCCGGCTTCCTCCCACAATCCAAAAACCTGTTGAGGTTAATTGGTGATTCTAAATTGTCCGTAGGTGTGAATGTGAGTGTGCTTGGTTGTCTGTCTCTGGGTGTGGCCCTGCGATGGATTGGCAACCTGTCTAGGGTGTCCCCTGCCTTTGCCCTGGGTCGGCTGGGATATGCTCCAGCCCCCCACGACCCTAGTGAGGATGAAGTGGTGTATAGATAATTGTTTAAGCCGCAGTGTTCAAACCGTGTGAAAAAAGTAGCAGCTTGTAGTCTGGAAATTACGGTAACTGGGCACAATGGGATTTGGTCAAGTATAAACGCAATTTTATAACTAAGTACTGAATACAGCAGATACAATGCATTTAATGCCTTTTTCACTTAAAGTAAAGACCAAAAAACCAACAACAGCAGTGATGTGCAGAAGTCAGTTCCAATATTGCAAGTATTTATTGTGTTATTCTTGTTCAACAGAGTGGATCCTGCATCAGCTGTCCGTCTGCCTGTCAGACCAATACTCAACCTAGTGTGCCGAGCCCTTGCTGTCAGCTCCAAGAGCATAGTAAGTGCGCACATGCACAGACTAAAGCAATGAACAAATTTGCTGATTTTTGCATCATTGTATGTGAATGCACACCAAACAAATATTATTGATCCTAAACCATTTGTTTTTGGCTCTTTGTGTCTCAGAATTTAACAGGGGATGGAAGTGTGAGGTTGTTAGTCCTCCCCATTATCCACACCAACACACTGGAGGTCCTGTCAAGTCTTATCACAGCGTGAGTACTGACACAGAGAGACACACACACACACACACACACACACACACACACACACACGGGATGTCTGCAAATGTCTTAAATTGTACAACAAGCCTGATAAACCTTAAAATCACAAATGTATATGATTATCAAGAGGTCAGTAACTCCAAAAGTACAAGCATGCACCGAAGACTACACTGTTAATGTGACGTTGACGTCTGTGTGCCTTTGTGTCTGCACTGTGTATTACAGAGTACGAAGAGGCATGGTTCAGTATGCTGCAGTGCTACAGAGGCTGTTTTCTCAAACCCTGTCTGCCTGGATGCCTCTACCTGAAGCCAGTGTGGGACAACAGAGAGCCTACAGGTAACTGACACCTGCTTCGTGTAACTATTCCTAACTTTGGATACTGAGTGCGCTCTGTTGTGAAATAACTGAGTGCAAAACAAGGATATACATGGATTTTATTTTATTTTTTAAAATACAATAGATAAGCAAAGGTAATTGATGTAGACTGTCACCTATTTACAATTTCATAGTGTGTACATGATTTGTGTGCCTTGAACACACTCATTTTGACATACAAAATTAGATTTATTAATTTCTTGACATGTATGAGAAAGAAACAATTGCAGCCACTCCTTACAATGCAGAAGAACACACCTCAAGTATTTACAGGTGTGAACACAGAGTAACCAACACTGAGATATGGGCTTACTTTGGTGGCATTTGATTGAATCTCGATTCTATCAAATCGACACAACAAATTTGAATCAGAATCAGATCTGACATGTTGATTACTGACTAGTATTGAATGTTCGGACACCCTGAAATGCAACTACCTGACTTAGATTATTAGATTAGACTTTTAGATTCTTGCAAACTACTTGATCTAAATAATGATGGTCTTGATTCCCAAGTCTGAGCTTATTCAGCTCCAAATATTTATTCAATGAAATAAAAGTTGCAGTATTACTCTTCTTATGCTGCAATCAGCTGATAAATGTTATTTTGTAAAGAGGCTTTTTACTCACAATTTTGGGCAGAGTTCAGTCAAAATTTGAAGAGCACATTAACCAACAGATTAAGGTTTCAGTGGACACGTTACACAATTAACGTTTATTAGCTACAGCTGATATCATCTACTACTGCTGACAGATTAGAGTTAATTTCAAAGTTTTTGGAATCCAATATATTTTGGGGGTAGGCGTCCTTGGCATTCTCTCAATTCGATTTAGATTTTTGGTGTCAAGATTTGATTCAGCATTAATTGTGGTTTCAAAATGGTTCTGGAGGTTTGGAGTTTTTTTGTATGAAAATTGTAAAATTTAAATGTACTTGCCAACATCGCTGGTTAAATGTTTAATGTAAAAGCAGAAGTTGGTGTTTGTTCTGCAGCAAAAGGGACAAGCTGAAGAAAGCACAGCACTCTTTTGACATTCACAGTCACTGAATGATTTTTAATTATTCCAACACACTTTGGAACATAAAAATGAACAGAGTCAGTCACTTTGATCCGCTTCTAGGTTTATTGTACACTACTCAGACCATTAAAACAAATCGAGCTGATCTCAGGGGCAACTGAGTAATGTCACAAAGGACATTAACTTGAATACAATTCTTTACCCTACCAACATACCACCCACCAGTGTATCCTAATTGCCACATTCATCCCTTATGTAGCTGTATGTCACATTTACGTAAAGACCTCATATTATCTCTGTTCTGTCTATCCTGTGTCCTGAATGTCTTCTGAGCAAATCAAATACTGCACATGGAGTTTACAAAATAGTCTTGTCAAGGCTGTCATAGACAGTTTACACATGGACCTTCCTAATATACTGATTGTCCACCGTCTGTGTATTTACAGTCCATCATTTTGCATGTGTGACACATTTTTGTATACATACTAAATATAAACACATGGTTCAAAAAGTCTGAGTGGGTTATACAATTCGTTAAATTTCTGTCAGATAATCCAAAATGCTGTACTAGCAATATGCTATTAGAGTTAAACAGACAATACAGACCCAATTATTCTCCCCAGATTTATTTATCTTATTTATCTATATACCGCTTAATCCTCACTAGGGTCGCGGGGGGCTGGAGCCCATCCCAGCCGACCCAGGGCGAAGGCGGGGGACACCCTAGACAGGTTGCTAGTCCATCGCAGGGCCACACCAAGAGACAGACAACCAAGCACACTCACATTCCTACCCACGGACAATCCAGAATCACCAATTAACCTCAACATGTTTTGGATCAAATCATTTGTGGTTTTAGCCAACTAGGAGCCATGTGCAAATTAGAATCTCCTGTCAGAACACAACTTTACTCAAATTACAGGCACCGACGCTTCAGTGCTTTTGTCGAACACACTTCAATGTCTTGTATCAGAAATTGAAAACATGCTTTACCGTATCACCAGTTGGAGCAATGCAGCTTAAGCATGAAATGTGATGCTATTCACTTGTCTAACCTATCGCCTATGTCAACTTTTTTGTCGCATCACATTTGATTTCATCCCACAGCTCAGTACGGGTATCGGTGTACGCAACCTTAGAATTGTGGGTCCAGGTAGCTGGAGCTTCAGCAAACATCCTTCAGGGAAGCCCCAGCCACTCAGAACTCCTCTTTAGCCACCTGCTTGGTGACATTACACCAGGGGCAGAGTCTATCAAGGTAGGTTCAACCTGCTCTTGCCTGTTATTTTGAATGTGTTTTCAGCTCCCTATTGGCTCAAATGAAAAATAACTAGGTTTAAAGATTTTCTTTTTTTAAACTGAGCATTTGGAGGAGCAGATAAGTGTTGACTTTGCCTCTGGTTTGGTCCTTTCCCAGCTCCGGGCAGGTCTGTCAGCTGATGTGGTTCCTGGAGGAAAGCCAGGCCCTCGAAGGACGAAGCAGTTGGTCATGGCGGATGCAGTTGGACCATCACTGCAGAGGAAGGGAGACCTTCTGGCCAATCAAGATACTTGCCTTTCAGCCCTCAGAGGTGAGATGCTATCTCAGTTTGATTACATCATATCATTGCACTTACATGTGTGATGTTACTCCTGTACATTGTGTAATATGTGCAATACTTGCTCAGGGTATTTCTTATTTCCATATTTTTATAGAGGGCTTTTTATCACATGTATTTATTTTATTCTTCTATTGTATATAGCTTATATTTTGCTGCTGCTTTTACATTTACCTTTGAAAAATACACTAGAATTCCAATGTACCTGTACTGTAGTGTAATTGTGCAAATGGCACTAAAAAATAGATTCTATTCATGCCCATCTTGTGATTTTGCTGACCTTGTGTTCTTCTGTATAACTGCAGTTTGCTTTTCTTCACAGGACTGAGACAAATCATACAGACCAGCGGAACACTACTAAAGGATGATATACACAAGGTAAATGTCTGCTAAAAATGAGCAAAAACGTTCATCAAATTTTTTTTACCAGAATAGGCCAATTTTCACTCTTAACCAGTTTATTCATCTGACGTTGTATGTGATTGTAGCAATAACTTGCACACTTATAAATTACCGAGGACTGGGGTTGTGTTTGTCATAAGCTATGGGTTCCTGTAGACGTAGTGCTAAATAAGATGATTATATGGTTGTTTTTCCCATCTATCTTCATCATGTAACCACTTGTTTCATCATGTATACTATTCAATAGAAAACAATCTATGGTTTTCTGCTCTGTGTTTATTTTCTCGCAGCGACTCCATGATGTGGTGCTACCACTGTGTGTGCGTCTACAACAGCAGCAGTGCAGCACCAGCACTGCATGTGAATCTGCAGGGGGCGTAAGTGGGCAGTATAGCAGTGCCATCACTCGACGAGAACTATACAGGTACTGCTGCTTCATTCAAACCAATAGCATTGAAGAGAGACATGGCCCTGTACTCCATCACACTGGATTTGTTTTTAAGTATTTTAACCACTAAAATTAACCCTCTGCTTTCTATTCAGCTATAACGTAGCAGCATTTATATCCATATTGGGAGGATTTGTGTGGCCTAATATTTATCGGTTGACTTCTAGATTAATTAATGCCTCTTTGTGATGAATTTAAACATTTGATTATGATAATTCTTCAAAAAAAACCCCAACAGCGCTATTGCAGTTGTTGCAGCATATCTGGATTTTTTCTTTTTGTTGGTGTGTGTTTTGAGCTTAGCGTGGTCTTTTGCAGCAACACATGTTCTGTTGGACCAATGTCAAGTAACTAACTTGGCAAATCAGAATCCTTTCACTCCATGGCTTTAAAAACCCCTTGATTGCTTTAACTGGATTTTCCCATTTTCCAGTACGTATTGGTGTGACTGCACTATCTTACTGCTATAGAAGGGAAAATCGCTCTGGCGTTTTGTGTATCTTTTGCCAGTCACTTGAAAGACTAAGAATGATTTAAAGAGCATAAACGAATTCTGTAATAAGGGTGGACCCCTTTGTGAAATGTGCTTGAAGGGAGGCTCCGACTGATTGTCCGCCTTGTCTCAGCTCCTGTTTGTGACATTCATGGATGGAATCTCAAGGTGCAGATGGTTGAGAAGTGTTTCCAGTTTGGGGAGTTCAGGAGTGTGTCTGTGCTTTGTGTGGAAGATGTAGTTCTGTTGGCATCATCAGGAAATGATCTTGAAGTGGCTGGGAAAAAAGTCAGCACCTCCAAGTCCAAGGACACCATTCTCTGCCAGAAACCGATGGATGGCTCCTTTTTGATTGAGGGGAAATTGCTGCCCCAAGCTAGGGAGTTTCTGTATCTCCGGATATTGTTTATGAGTTATGTGAAAATAGAGCACAGGAGGGATGTCTGGAATGCTACTACTTTACCTGTGGCCCTTGTGATTCTGTGATGAACTGAACAAAATGGATAGATTAACGATCATCTTGGGCGGAGCTCAGCAAATGATGTGGCTTTGGTGCTGCTTCAGAATTGTTTTGGTGGAACATTTCCAAGAAGGAAGACAAGCACTGTCATTAAAATGAATGATGATTTGTAACAGAATGTTGTGTGATGTAAATGCTGGAGTTATGGAACTTTTATGTTCCTTTTGAATTTCCAGGTTATTGTTGGCTCTGGTCCTGGTCCCATCACCCTGTTGGCCTCCACCTCTGACCTGCGCCGTGTCCATTCTCAGCAATGGACGCACCGACCGCAACCTCAAGGTGACTTCTCAGAACACTCACAAATGTGACAACCGCTTTGAATAACAGATCCAGGAGTGACAATTTTTTATCAGACACCAGTACTCCACACATATGTTTTAAAATAATACGTAAAGTTGTTTGTTTGAACATGATCTAATTTGGTAGGGTACACATTAATTTGAGAGTACCTTGGTAACAGGTGAAACTGATCTAAAAACACGTTACTTCAACATAATGTATAAAGAAGAGCATCATCATGCAGAACACAATAATCGTTGTTTACTCTTTCTATTTGCAGCAGGTGTTTTTCCGTCTACCATTTCAGTTTTTAATGACTTTCTGTGCACCCCCCTTTCTCAGGTCTCTTCATTCTGTGCTGAGGCTCTGACGATCTGTAACTCAATCCTTCACCCTCGCACTTCGTCCGTTGCCCTCCCTTTACCGCCCCTCACTCTGAAACCAACCCATACTGCTCCAGTCCTCCCCTCCTCCCAGGGACCTGCTTCTGGACTCACTTTGCCAACCCTCCTAGGAGGTCCTGCCCCTGGTCCTCCCTTTCCCACCCGCCACTCTCTTGGCCTGGGCCCCACTTCCCTGCTAGGTTCTTTGGAGAACCACCTCTCCCTGGTTCCTGGACTGCCAGGCCAGGCCCCTGCTCCAGGAGACATGATCCTGTCTCCACACGCACACCACCAGCCAGATCCTGCTGGGCTGGGTCCTCCAGAGGGGCAGAGACCTGTGTTTGTCCGATATGACAAAGAGGAAGCAGAAGATGTAGAGATCTCTTTGGAAAGTGACTCAGATGACAGTGTGGTGATAGTTCCTCCAGGGATGCTCAATATGGAGAACCAGCAGGATGACGTGGCAGCAAACTCGCAGAACATACTCTCTGCTGCACCAGGTGGCGCTGGTGTCACATTAAGTGGAGGAGAATCTGTCACCATGGTCCCCACTACAGCAGCAACAACCACAGTAGAAGGGACCTCTCTCTCCAATGACCTGGCCACCTCATCTCCCCTCCTCACCACTTCCACCACCCCCATCAACTCTTTTCCTCCCTCCAGTGCCTCGGTCGTCTCCCTGGTTCCACCTTTGAACTCCAGCACACTCACAGGTCCACCTGGTGGACTTGGAGACTCAATGCCTGGCAGGCCCCAGCTCCAGCAGATGCTTATGCAGCCCTCCACAGCAGGCCAGCCCAGCCCAATGGGTCTACCACTCCAGATGCACCAGCTGCAGAATCAGCTGAGTCAGCAGGGACGCCACCTCCACCAGCACCCGCCAGCACCCACCAGCAACGAAGATTCAGCTGTCATCAACATCAACAGCACTGATGACGAAGAAGAAGATGAGGAGGACATGGAGGACGATGAAGAGCTGGAGGAGGAGGAGGAAGGGATGGATGAGGAAGATGAAGAGGAGGAAGTGAGCGATTTAGCTGAAGATGAATTTTATGATGGGGAGGAATATGAGGACTATGATGAAGAAGAGGGTGAAGACCTGGAGGAAGAGGAGGAGGAGGAGGAAGATGGGGACATTCCTCCGCTGGAGGGAGCAGAGGACAAGGTAGTAGAGGCAGGGATAGAAGAGGGGAAGGTGCTCCGAGCGGCGGTGGATGAAGGAGGGATGTCTGGCTTTAGTGTGGAGGGGGATGCTGAAGGAGGGATAGAGGAGATCCAAACCAACAGAGCACTGTTTGGAGACGACAGGATGAAGGTGCAGGAGGTGGAGAGCATTGGAGTCCTGGAGGATGCACGAGAAGGGGAAGGAGAGGAGGATGACAGTGAAAAAATGAATGACCCTACCATGCCACAAATCCTGTGTGTCACTGGAGGAGCACTGGATGAGAGGGAGGAGACTGAGGAGGAAGGTGGAGAAGCAGGGGGAGGATTGGAGGAGGGGGAAAGCTCGTGGGAACAAGGAGGGAAGGAGGAGGAGGAGCTGACAGCTGCCCCAGAAGAACAGAGCACCAATCAGACTCAACAGGTAGTTACCACAGCTTCAAAGTTTCACTTTTGACCCACGCTGATCAATGTGTTACAGTAAAATGAGTGGAAAACAAGTTGAAGTGATAGCTGATGTATAATCACAGAAATGGGCTAACTTGCAAGAGTTTTAAGTGCAAGTTACATTGTTGTCATTAAAGCTGGTAATTCAGCACAAAGACGGACAGGAAACTGACTCTGTCCAGCAATAACAAAATTCACCTACTCGGATGTCTGAAGCTCACTGATAATTGTATTTCATTTGTTTAACACCCGCAAAAATCCAAAGGGGAGGATGTCATCTTTACTCAGGCTTTGCTGTGGCAGAATATTTTCATTTTAACACTGTAATATTTAGGGCGGAACAGGCTGTTACAGTTAGATAACTAGTCGACTGAGCTGCCATGTTACTAACAGTGGAGACATGCACAGCACATACCATCACTTATTGGAATTATTGATCATTAATATGGATCTTCTGACTTGATTCTGGGATGCAGGTTGTTTCTGGAGGTCAGGAATGTCTGTATATTCAAGGATTCAAGGTCTTTATTGGTCACGAACACAGTCATACATGGTATAATGCGCAGTGAAATGCTTTATTGTATATATTAAGAGACTGAGTATTGCTTGAATTTCCCTAAAGGGATGGATAAAGTATCTAGCTAGCTAGCTATCTATGACAAGACCTTTATCAGTGTTTTTGTTCCCCCACTATTGTATTAATGACAGTGGTATTGTTATAGTGTTGTTAAAAGAAAAAATTCTCTACTCTGTTCAACTCAACAGGAGTCAGCAGCTGAACCTGCACAGGAAGTCAGTGTGAGTGATAACCAGCCATCCAGCCATCAGGAGGAACAGCTAGTAGCTGTTCAAGAAGAAGACACACCAGCAGATCCTGAAACCTCTGCAGACTTGAGTACTAAAGAGCAAGAAGAGACGGTTGATTTGAAAAGAGACAAAACTGATACAGAGCAGCAGGAGGCAGCTGGAACAGAAGAGGAGAGTGATGGAGAGGAGGGCAAAGGCGTGAAGAGGAAGAGAGAGGAGGGGCAGGAAGAGGAAGAAGCAGGGCAGAGCACTGATAAGAAAAAGGTAAAATTTCAGATTCAGTTGTTCTCTTGTACAAGTTTATATTGAGCCATTAAGTAACACAAAACATCAGATGACATCTTAAAATCACCAATTTATTAGGACTTTTCTCACAGATTCTAGGACACCAGTTAAATTCATAGAAAATTGTTAAGACAAGAAATGCTGACAATCTTGTAAAAAAAATCCAACGAGGCAATAAACATCATAGCTCAGTGTAAACATAACAAAAGAATGTCATTGCCATAAACATCTTTTAAGCCCTTTGTTTTACACTTCCTTAATCGTAAAATAATTATCTAATCATTTCTAAAAATGAAAAAGTTTTCCCCCAAAAAAGTTGGTACCAAGAGTACTACATATGGATAAAAATAAAATGAAACACAAAGACAGTGTTTACTTGGTACACTTACTGCTGTAACCTAGCGAGTCAGAAGATGTAAAAATTGAAAAAAAGAAAACTGTAAAGAAAAGGCATGAAGAATCAGAAATCATTTTGACCCCAGTGACAGCATAAACAAAACACTACATCCACTGAAGAGGCATTTGTGGCTGTACGGTGCTGAAGAATGGGGAAAAAAAATGAAAGAAAGACACAACTTTGCCTCAGGCACAGCATTGTTGAGAATTGGGAGGTGAGTATGTTAACCACTCTGCAAACCGCTGTGACCTACATGTGACCTCGCTATAACACCCTTCTCTATGTAGCTTTGCAAAACTGTTACTACAGTACTTGTACTCTGCAGAGGCATTGTTCCTTATTGTATTGAAACAATAAGCAATTACTGATTTAGTGACCACTGTCCCAGAAATACGTAGTTATTCAACATTTCCCATAAACCACCTGTCAGTTTGAGTAGGTATCGGCATCAGACACACAACAACCGTTTTCTGTTTGTCCTACAGATGGATGATGAAGCCATGGCCTCCATGTTGGCGGATTTTGTCGCCTGCCCACCTGATGATGAAGATGGTGCCTCGGGATCAAACTGCTCATGAATATTTGCCAACCTGAACTGATGTGATTGAAGTTACCACGTATACGGCAGATACTGCTAGAATACTGTATCATTAGTCACAAGGTTTAGTTACCTCATACAATAACTCCATGTTATTCATTACATATTCAGTCATGCTTCACGTTGTTCAGATTATACTGTTAGAATGTGGCCTCCAGTTTCTTTGTTGTATTTTTTTTTAAAAACAATATTGGCAAGTTCTGGCTGCATTATGTGGGCTATGGAAAGGAGAGTCTGGCTTTTTACTGTCACATCATCCAACTACCTGTACATGAAGTAAAGTGAAGTCGCCCGGCAGGGAGGCAAAGCTCTCTGAAACGAATTAGGCAGAACGAAAGCCTTTTGTTCTTGTATACAGTACACGTTCTCTTACAGTGAGTATATGGTCTTTTTTTAATTTGTATGTCTTCCATGTCTTTTTGTTTTGTCATCTGTCATATGCTTTCTTATAAAAAAAAAAAGTAAAAATTCTGTCACGACTTACATAACTACATTGTTTTTCTGAGATTTACTTTCAATCATCAGGACAGTAATCGGGTTCATTCAACTTCACCCCTTTACCATGCCCTTTAATTTTAAGGATGAATTTACCCTCAATGCAAGAGGTCATCTAGAAAGATGTGTGGATTATGCATTGACAGAATTTTAAGAAATACATTTTAGAGCGTCACTTTCTTGTATTTAATTTATTCAATTTTGTACAAGTCCATGGTATTTAGGTCAGATCAGGCAGACATCTGAAAGACCGCACAAATACAGTCTAAACTGTGCAACTGGACAGATACTGTACTGCAAGATGGCAAAGAAAAAAATGATCTTTTATAATTTGGGTGAACTGATTTGACTATCAAATGTGTCCCAGTCCCATACATACTAGGTGAATGTGGACAAAGCACATATGACTGGAATTTGTAGGACACATGGTTTGAGCTAATCTTTTAAGCACCATCTAGTTTTGTATAAAATGGATTTGGAGAACAGTAAGTTCCCTTCACTTTTCCACAAGTAGCTTCTTTTTTGTTTCTTGTTGCAACGATGTTATGGTGAGTGAGAGGTTTGTATAATTTTACTGGTTTAGAAAACCCGTTACTGGCAAGGGGGCACTGGTGAGAACGCACTCGAGATGCTGAAAGTTCCTTTCATTTGTTTAGTATAGAACATGAGTAAGTGTGTGGTTCTGAAACGAGGAAATAAAATGAAATAAGTAATAATCTAATGCATTTTCACCAGGTTCTTACATGCATTACAGTTATACATTGCTATAAAGAATATACCATCAAAGGGTAAATTATACCAGATCAGCTGAACATGTTCTACAGCATTTCTAGTCTGCAGCATCCTCTTGTCCTCATGAGGGCATAATTAGCTAACCAGCCAGATTCTGATCTCACTCCACAAAATAACACAGTTTTACATAGCAAAGAAAGAGATACAGTGCTTTTGTTGTGAAGGGACAGGCTGTAAACTAACAGGTACGGATAAATGATTGTCGAAAAATTCATTTAAAAAAATAAATTGGCTTTAAGTAACTTATGAGGGGTCAAATCAGGGTTTTTTCATGATTCTGAGTTGATTGTTGGCATTTATATTTCACCACAAACACTCCATTGTTAAAAAAAAAGCCACACTCACTTCTACATTTACATTCAAAGTAGCATTTATTTCACATACTTATATAATACTCAGTTATTTCTCATTCACAATGTCAGAAGCTTCTAGAGTCATTGTGTCGTCTTCAGACTCAACAACTGACTGCAGTTTACAGATTCCACAGGCCGAGATGCACGTGACCCCATTCGTCTTGCAGCTACACCCTGGTTGCTGCAATCTCCATGACAATTACAGCTCGTGAACTTCAGTAGCTCCTCAGGAGCCATGGGGTCGAGTGTTGGAATTGGCTCATGCCCATGCACACCTAATGTCCATCCATAGTCATTGGGGTTCAGAGACATGCTCTGTAGAAGGATCCAGTCCCGGGTCTGCAGGTAGGCAGTGAATGAATGCTGTGGAGCTGCACCCTCTGTTAGAGGTAGAGTTTGATCACTCCTGCCGCCGCCTTTCTCGAAAATGTATCAAATTTCACCCGATGTAGTTTCTGGCCCATGATAAATGCACTGGAAAGTCGCAGTACCAGCCTGAATCACTGCCTCCTTGGTGGCTTCTGTGTCAAGGAAAATTTCCATGTACTCATTCATGTCCTCTGCACAAAACCTGACAAAATGCTCCAGGTTTGTGTCAAGTATAATGTGAAACAGAAATACTCATATATTATTCCATCCATCCATCCATTTTCTATACACCGCTTAATCCTCACTAGGGTCGCAGGGGGGGCTGGAGCCTATCCCAGCCAACCTAGGGCGAAGGCAGGGGACACCCTGGACAGGTCGCCAGTCTATCACAGGGCCACAGCGAGAGACAGACAACCAAGCACACTCACATTCACACCTAGGGACGATTTAGAATCACCAATTAACCGGAGAGAACCCACGCAGGCACAGGGAGAACAGTGCTAACCACCTCCCACCATGCCTCCTGGCACAGCCCCCAATATATATGAAATATGTAATGTAGCCCCAACAGCATCCCTTCCAAAACATTTTATACTTCAATGAAAGTAATTACGAGTTATAAGGAAAAGACTCGC